TCACACTACCGGCGGGCGGGGCTCTGACATAAAAAAACGCCTCTCGCCTCTCCCTATGGGTACATGGGTACGCATGTACGCATCTAAGCGATGCACCCAAGCATACACACATGCGTGCGGCATGCGGGGTTTCAACCAAGAAAAAACCAGAAAATAACCAGGGCTCTCTTCGATCATCGTCAAAATACATTCATGAGGCAAAAGTTATGCGACACCAAGGCTGGGCGGATTTAAGCAAGATATTCAGGACGGTGTGGTAGTTACAGTAGCTCTCTGGGTAGCGAGTCTTAGGTGTAGAGGCGCCGACTTTGGTGAGCTCTAGGTTCGAGGGTAGGATGCCCTCAAGAGATTTAGATGTGAGCAAAGCAAACAAGCTGTTTGCGGGTTTATTCTTGCAGCCAATTTCCTACACACGGATCTTCATACCGGAGGAAAAGCTCTGCGAGCTCCCAAAAATGGCTCAAACCCTTTAGGAAGACGTCTCGTATATCATCTGTTTTCCCTCTGTCTGCTTCTTGCATCTTCTTGCATCACCCCTTGCCGCGGTACTTGCTCTCTTTACCCCACTCCGGAGGGAGATCTTGTAGACTTATGTACAGGCAAGAACAGGCCGAATTTGTTTGGCAAGCTGCTGTTCTGGGTTTTTGGGTGCGCCGACCATTTGAATATTACAGCAGCAGGATGGTAAATGAACCATGGATACATCTTTGTTCCCAACAACGTAAGTAGTTCTACTTTGCTGTACGCTGCAGACTTGGGTGGATGTACCAGCGGCGCGCTGCTTCTGGGTGTACTTTAGCTTAGATTGGTTTAAGGGCGCGGGGGGGATCGCAGTACCTCCTCTGAAAAATCCAGGAAACGCCTGCATATCTCGGTTTTCCAAAGTCTAACTGCAGTAAGAAACTACCATCATCGTAAATTAACCGTCCGCAGCGGTCGCTTGTGGAAAATGTTAGCAGCTGAGATTGTAGCCCTTTCGATACACTACAGACTAGCGGTCCGCGATTTTCCAAACGATCCTTCTATCATCGAGTTCGGTGAGCTACAAGCTAGATTTTTGAAGCTGCTGTGCGGTCCAATTTTGAAACGCTTCAAGCACCTTTGCCTAGGCTGGACATGCATATACATGACCGTAGGCATTCAAATCGACAATGGCGACCAGCTGGATATGTGAGGGAAGAGCTGCGCTGAAGTTCGCGGCCCCATACACTCACATAGGCGGTGATTCGTGTTCACCGTGTGCTTGAAGCGTTTCAAAATTGGACCGCACAGCAGCTTCAAAAATCTAGCTTGTAGCTCACCGAACTCGATGATAGAAGGATCGTTTGGAAAATCGCGGACCGCTAGTCTGTAGTGTATCGCAAGGGGTACAACCTCAGCTACTAACATTGTACACAAGCGACCGCTGCGGACGGTTAATTTACGATGGTAGTTTCGTACTGGAGTTAGACTTTGGAAAACCGAGATATGCAGGCGTTTCCATGGCAGGCGTTTCCTGTTTTTTTGACTGCGATCCCCAGTGCGGCCTTAAGGGGAGGAAGAAGAGCAATTTTGATGTTGACGAATTTTGAAAACAAACGCAAGAGGTCCAGAAATTGTACAACATACATACAAGACCAGTCGGGAGGCATCGCAAAAAACAGCAATCGTTGATTCTCGCACAGGGCGGCAGTAGAGGCTGCTCAAAACATACATACATTTCACGCGTCTACCTCCACAGGCTTCCTTTGGAATCAAGATAAAAATTCGCTCCATTCTAAATTCATGTCAAAAGAGCCAAAACGGAAGGCGCTGAAACAAGGTCATTTTTGATGGTTGAGTTAGGCATTCTACTGTCAGCAGTAGAGGACATCATGAAGAGGCGTCGTGCGTGTTGGCACGTTCAGGTTTGTTACTGGAGCTGAAATGTCGAAGGTCGCAGCAGCCTTTGAAAACAGTCCGAAATCTGCGCCGGAACCAAGAGGCATCCAACATTTGTCACAGCCATGCTCGCCGTCATCGATCCCAATCTCCTGAGCTACGGGTTTACAGGAGTAGCTGATGCCACTAGCTACTGTTGACACCCCTCCGTTCAGGGGTTTACGGTCCGTGGCGGTGAGCATGGCTGTGGCAAATGTTGAATGCCGCTTGGTTCCGGCGCAGATTTCGGACTGTTTCAGCGGCTGCTGCGACCTTCGATATTTCCGCTCCAGTAGCAAATCTGAACGTGCCAGCACGCACGACCCCTCTTCCTGGTGTCCTCTACTGATGACAATAGAGTGCCTAACCTAACCCCGGCGGGAAGGTTGTTTTCTTTCTTTGTATAGGATTAAAGAATGGGAAAAGAGCCAGCGTCAAAACCGCTGTTCTTCCCCCCACGCGACCGCTAAATTTGTTCCTCTCCGCTAATATTTTTTTCGGCGCGCAGCAGGGTGGCAACTCGAAAACTGGCAAACCAACCACTTCTAGTTCACGCTTTCCACATGATTGTGAGGCCAAACCAATCGTGACTACAACCAGCCCTAATGAACATCACAAGCAGGGCTCGCCACCACAACCGGGTTTTACAGGACCGCGTCGGGCGGTAGAAACGTACGTGGACACCGATCAGACTTTGTATGCGGCGGAGACCACCACATGAAACAAATGACCGTGGGACCGACAGATAGAATCAGAACGCTAGAGGTACGCTAGAGGTTCACCTCACCTCTCGTGATCTTCAGCCTTACCTCGTCTCCACCCTCTCCTCCCTTGCCCTGCTGTTGGTATGTACCTCTGGCAATGACGCGAGTGGTCAACTTGAAGTCACAAGTCAAGGAATGGGGGACGGCAAACCGCTCTATCGACGAGGGCAGTGCCGTGCGGATGAACTGCTGACGTTTCGCCTCTCATGTGTCATCTTTGCGGTGCGGCTCATCTGCGGTGCGGCTGGCGGACGCACCAGCACACCATCATGACGATTGATGGCCGTGAAGGGCCCTTTGGGCAGTGTAACAAAGGGGGAATGTAGAGCATCGACCGTCGCGACGTTGCTGTGGCACGTTCGAGCGTAGGAAGAGCTATCTACATATGTACTGTAGCTACAGAACAAGCCTCACAGATCTCAACCGGAGGTGGGGTGCCACTGCTATCTACTACTGCTGTTGTGGCACATGTACAGATGTACAGATCAACCCGGCAAGCACATGTACAGACGTACAGATCAACCCGGCGTCTTGCGCTTGATCCGGCCTCCAGCGCGCGCCCTGTGTAGTTCCTACAATGGGGTTCGCCGTTCTTTGGATGCGACCCTTGATCGGGGTGCGGATACTGTATCGAGGGTAGGTTCGTCGGGCTTGGTGTGTATGTATGTGCCGCTGAGACGGTATCCCAAGGATCGGTGTGAAACCGACTAGGACCAGTGATGTCCTCCACGTCGACCAGGAGGTCGTACCCGCGCCTTCTCCTCGAAGGAGGAGGAAACTGAAGTGGCAGGATGAGTGTGTTGCTTTCGCAGCAACTCGTCACCTGTACCAGGGGGTATCCGCAAGCTGGATGAGAGCAAAGAAAGACACCGACTGCTGTACATAGGTAAACCGATCGTCCGCTAAACCAATCGTCCGAGCGAACGACGGAGAAAGGGGTCGCAACACGAAAATAAAATACTAAAACACAAGCCGAACACACAGGACAATAGTCAAACATCCAGATAACCGGAGAGAACGGACAAAGTTTGAAATGCCATCGAAAGCGGGCATCGAAAGCTATAAATAGCAGGCGCCAAAGCGAAACGGACTCAATTCTCAACTGGAACCACACACAAAAATATACAGAAACCACCGAGCACGCGGGCGCATGTTTGTGCACACAGCCACCCGAAACATCAACATTTGGACCTGGTTCTCACCGTTCAGCTGCCGGTCATACGGGGCAGCGTTTGAGCTCGTTCGATCGATTACTGTGTATCTTGGTGTTGCGGTACACTAGATAGACATGTTCACCAGGTGCTTTGCCAGCGCAATCTTCCGTCGAGTGCCCAGCGTGTTGCAGCGTTGGCCTTGGGTACAATGACTTTCAATCCTTTTGTGTTTGTAACAATACAGACGACGGTGGTAGGATTGTCTTCCTGTGGGTGGACATGGCAAACATTCTGTGTCAGTCTGAAATTACGCATGTTTGCAGCCAACCCCGGGGGTCAGAGATCTCAACGGCTGCTTGAACAGATGGGCTGTCGGTCAACCGTGCTGTCCTGTGCGGTTTGGTCGGCCTGCCGGCGGTACGTATACCTGAACCACCCAGGACTCAAGACATGTCTTGAGGAAATAGAAAGGGGAAATGAACAGGGGTCTCGAGCCATCCCCGCGTCAACGACATGTCACCGACTGACACCAGCACATACTTCTATTCATGTGTGTTTTCGTCCAATATATTATGGCGACAGCTCCCCCATTTTTCTACGTGTATGTATGTAGAGTACTACAGTGTGTATAGTCTACACTTTTCAGTGTGCACTGTATAGCATGGGTGGGAAAATTGACTCGCATCCTACTGCTCGGATGGAGACGAACGTACTCGCGACTGGGACACCTCCTACGGTTCCGGACAGAAAACCCGACAACACAGAATGGATGCCATCATGCGAGAGCTCATCGTGCAGCAAGCGAGAGTAGTAGTGGCTTATCGTTCGGGACCGGAAACAAACTTGGAACACCAGCGGTGTAGGAATCGTCCGAGATACCCCTGACACGTGGGTGAGGCTGTCTCTCTCGATGTTACTCGCGATGATTGGCACCGCGAGCAATTGAAGAGTAGAAGTAGGAGCTACTTCTTGTGCTCTGTAGAGGCGTGGAGATATGTTGGAAAACTGGCGCTTACTATAGATGGCCAACAAACCCTGATAGATCCACCACAGAGAACGCAGAAGTCCAGATGACAGTTCCTAGAGAATACTAGGAAAGCTAAGAGCCACGACTATCCAGAGAAGTCCATGCGACAGGAAATATACGTGATCCCTCGAGTAGAGAACTCTACAGCAGAAGATCCCCCGCATGCAGATGCGTTATTTATGAACGAAATATATGATATGTACGATGCATGATCTACGATGGCAATATTTCCATGACAACCGGGCAGGCGGTGAAAGTCTAAGTACCACGGTTTGTGCGCCCGTGACAACATCTGAGACAACAACGCTTTCATTCGCAGTGTAGTCGCGTGGCCTCAGGTCAGCGGAGGGCGGGACCAACTCCAGCGGTGAAAAGCCGCGATTGGTTTTGAATATGCACGCTCATAAGTCACGAATTTCTTTTGAATATAGTCTAGGCTATGCGATGTTCTATCGCCAGCTTCTAAACACGCAACACTACATGTAGCACTCCCAACCCGGTGGGAAACTCGCTGAACTTCCAGCTGCAGCAATAGTAGCAGCAGCGCTAGCTTGAATAGCTTGGAGACCTTTCCTGCTACCAGTTTCCACATGCCCGTCTACTCTCGCGCTACCGCAACTCCAACATTTGTACGTATACCTTGTCTACACTGAACAACATGCACGCAGAACCAGATACAGCCAAATCGCGAGAGACAGCCCTGCTGGTGGCGGCAGTTCATAACCTGGCCGGCACGAATAGGTAGATTGGCGGCTGGGAAACAAACCTTTTCCGGTTACGGTCCGCATTTATGATATTTCTACACGCTCTTACCCACTGATTCTGCCATGTACTCGTCGCCTTGGGACCACGTCGTGGTGTTTACTCCCCCTCTATCCCTCTGCTTTATTCTGCCTATCTACAAAACCTGTCCCTTTCTTCCCTCATCCCGAGGCCGCGACGTTATACAGGAACATCCGAACATCCAACATTCAAGCAACGATATTACTGTTCAAAGTGTATTCGCGTTTTCTTTCGATATTCCTTCGAGCCGAAAGCCCGGTGAGCCGTACGTTTCACATATATCTTTGGAAACCTGTCCCCCTACTCCCATTGGTGCGGTGCGTTTGTAGTCCTTGTCGATGTTTAGGAACGCATAAATCTATGCGCCCAATGACATAGCTTTGTCACGTGCGTCGAGGATCACGACTGACGATCACTTCGTTCGTGTGGCCACCAGGTTTAGGGTAACACGCCCAGGTCGGCGGCGTGTCTGCCGAAAAAGCGATGGTCACTGGCAGCATCGAGGGATGGCGCATAAGTTTACAATTGACACAAGTTTACAATTGACGTGCCAGATAAAGTGGAGGTATCACACCACCATTGTCTTAGAGAGCCCACCGCAGTGATGCTGCCATATACACCGTACTACAAGACCACCAAACACGCGAGTTGTGTGCTGGAGGCACCTTGTGACCAGCACGTTACGGCCGATTTCTTCGGGATGGTGACTGGCTTGAGATTCACGGCACAGGCGTTACACGAATAGGACGAATGTCGAAAAAAAGTCGCCAGGAGAAGGACTTCATAAGTATCGCTATGTTCTTGCAACCAGACGGCCACTTCGAAAAACAACAAAGCGCTGTGCTAGATCCCGGTGGAGTTGTCGGTTCCTCATAAAAAAAGCTATGCCTTTTTCCCAACGTCTCCCACCAACCAACGGGCCCAAACGGCACCCAATCGAGCACCCCAACCGCACTCTGGCGGACGGGGTGCGTACTCATGTAGACCATCGTCTTCGCATGGCGCGTGGACCGTTGACCACGTATTCTGCTTGAGTCGAAGAACTTTTTTTCGTTCGACGTTCGACAGCGGGTGCTCGATGTTGCTCTGCTCTGCCGTTCACTATCCGTGATGGATGCTCTTACCCGTCTCGTCCATTTCTCCCGTCATGTCCACATTTCCGAGTGAAACGTTGCGGCTGCTTACCTTCATGAGGCAACCGTGTGGACGGCCAGTTAGATGGATTGGTACACCGACATGATGTAAGAGCCGCCGCAGATCTCGTCGGAGTCGCCCGTGCAGGGCATGTCGCAGGTCTGGAAACCGTTGTCATCGTAGCCGTCGATTACGCCGCACCAGCACTGTCTCACGCAGCAGCAGTATCAGCACGAAAGGAGGCGTGAACAGGCGGAGGGCCCAGATTGATGTCATCATGGTCAAGACGACATGCATCGATGGAGTGCGATGCGCCACGAAAGCAGGTGGTTTTGGTGACCTAGGCAGTAGTACCGGCGTCAGCACGAAATTACCGGCCAAAGGCTTAAAACACCCTACGTCGTGCTACACTAATCTTCGAAATCGATGCACAAAGGCGGCGGCTTTCCGCTGACTGGTTCCAGAGAACTCGACGATCAAATCAAGTCGGCTTTTCGTGTTGGTGCTTTGCTCGTCACCCCTCACTGTCCCACAAAGCACGACAGACACTCTGTGGAACCGAATACAAGAAGTCATACCTCTCGAGAGAACTGGGTTCCATAGTAGGGCTCGCTGCATACCGCGGCGCAGGCCTGGTCATTGGGTCACGCAGGGTTAGGAGTAAGGTCACGTAGGGTTAGGAGTAGGGTCACGTAGGGTTAGGAGTAGGGTTAGGGTTAGTGTCCACGAGCAAGCTTTGTCAATTGTCCGGGTGTTGAGCGAGAGAAGTAGATACACAGAGGGAGTATCGACATCGGGGAAAACAGCAAACAACAACAACAACAACAACAACAACAACAACAACAACAACAACAACAACAGCAGCAGCTGACTGCCACAGCATGACGATGAAGGATGGCCGTTCCAAACGAAATTCTTCCAGAGGTGTGAAAGTGTGAACGTCTTGGAAAAAACGAACATTCCGAAAAACCAACCAGACCAACGAGTGAGTTTTGGTCGGAGAAACGTTGCTCACATCAGCGGTCATGCTGTCAGATTCATAAGAGTAGTACATGATTCGGCCGGCGGAGTCTTGGAAGCATCCAAGGTACGCGGGGTCGTGGGCGTAGACACTCATGCTGTAGTACCCTCCGCAGGTCTCTTCGGAGTCGCCCGAGCAGGGCATGTCGCAGACTCCCTCGCCGTTCTCGGAGTATCGGGCGTTGAGGTCGCCGCACCAGCACTGTTTTCGTAGTTATGGTAGATGCAGTGAGGCGAAAAATGGTGTGGTGCAATCAGAGGAGCAAGTTCGCCGTGTCGAGGGGTATTGCGGTGATTGGTACACTGTGTACACTTTAGCGAAATTTGGGAGATGTATACACGGGTGCCACATGGTGTCGGTGGTGTCGGCAAGTATCACCCAACACGAGAACGTCGACAATGACTCAGGCGGCGATCGGGAACTTTGGACAACAACAGCAAAAACAACGACAACGATATGTTTGCCGTTGTTGGGGTTTGGATTTGACATCTGGCGACGTTAATAAACAACAACAGCAAACCACCATGCCGGCCCGAACGAACGCCAATGGCGCGTGGTTGGAAGTGAAATTTGGTGGCTGGTTGCACCAAACCCCGACCGGCTAAGTTTGCCATCCATGGTGGCGACACAGACTGTCATATTGAACTTTCAACCAACACAAGGCCTAGAGGCCGGGAGTGCCTGAACACCGATCTATCACAAAAGACAGACCCAGTGTCGTCCGAACGGCTTGGCTCTGAGACTAGATGAAACCGTCACAACGCTCTCACCTGTGTAGAGTACTGTGTTCCGTAGAAGGCATAGTCGGAGCATAGCGTCGCGCAGAACTGTGATGAATTGCGAAGGTTGTGTATGTCCACGGTGATCGATCACCAGGAAGAGGGGGGAAGGAGTAGTTAGGGGTACACCAACCGAGAGCAATGAATGCAGACGCACCGCGTGGGCGCAGTAACAGCGAGTTGGCTTACGGGTCGACCTTCAAGAAAGGCTCTGACAATTATCCACGGACAATGCCAACATCACGCCATCCTCGGAAGGCACGAACCGCGCGGCAGGCCGGCCAATAATTCCTTATGCAAAGGGCATGCATGTCATCCAACAACATGGAGAAAATACCTAGGAAACAAATGCACCAAAACCGGGCGAGCACACAACCACTGTTCGCGCCTCTCTTGCGCTCTTCCTCGCTCACCTCAGCGGTCATGCCGTCAGAGGAGCCTGCCTCAACGAAGATACGGCTGTCCGCCGGGTCGGAGTAGCAGCCACGGTACGAGAGGTCCACGGGATCTACGTCGTTCTCGTAGACACTCATGCTGTAGAAGCCTCCGCAGATCTCGCTGGAGTCGCCCGAGCAGTCCATGTCGCACTCGCCGGCACCGTTGGCATCGTAGTCGGCGTTGTCACCACACCAGCACTGTTGAGTTCGACGGAACAAATCGAGAAACGAGGGGAGATGGGGGAAGCAGTCACCGAGAGGGCAGGGGCTAGTTCAGCGTGGCCATATTAATAGTGGCAATTGCGTATCGAATACCGCGTACGCGATACACTATTTGCGCCCAGGCCACGACTCCCATGAGTGATGCACGGATTTCGTGCCGGTGCACAAAGCAGCGAACGACAGCGTACAATACCGGCATGATCCGAGGCACGTACTGTAGGTGACTTGAAATACACCAACAGAAGGCCACGGGGGTGACTGTTGAACCCCCATTGCAATGTCCATGATGATGAAGTTCTGACGCCACGCAAGGGCGACTTGAACACCTCGCGATCCGCAAATATCACGGGTTCTTTGAGCGTGTATGCTAGACGACTCACCTGCGTCGAGTACTGAGTCCCGTAGTACTGGTAGGCGCCGCAGTTCCCCAAGCAGATCTGTGGCCGGTTGGTTGCGTTGGAGGGGAAGACACATTGGTCACATTGGTCGTTCGAACGAGGAGAGATAAGTAAATTGGGAACAACGTGGCAGTTTGTTGGGTGGCGGTGGCGCGTTGATGCAAGGGCTACGTATTTCGAACGCTGGTGGCAACGGCCATGCAGCGACAAACCACGAGCATACCAACAGCAGTACAAGCCGTGTTGACGTTCGACACAGATGACATCATCAACAGCTCAACCCACGACCCCGAGACGTATCCCATCCGTCTTCCTTGCGGACACACCTCCGAGGTCATGTCGTCAGAGGTAGCCACCAACTCGAAGATGCGGCTGTCGGCCGGGTCGGAGTAGCAGCCAAGGTACGAGGGGTCCACAGGATCTACGTTCTCGTAGACGCTCATGGTGTAGAAGCCTCCGCAGATCTCGCTGGCGTCGCCCGAGCAGGCCATGTCGCACTCGCCGGCACCGTTGGCGTCGTAGTCGGCGTTGTCGCCGCACCAGCACTGTCGTGTTCGGCAGTATTAATCGAGAAACGGGGGGAGAGGGGGGGTGCATTCACCGAAAGGGCAGGGGCTAGTTCAGCGTGACTTCAGTGCCACGCAGGACGGTATTTGGCGCCGTTAAACACGGAAGATGGGAGACATCGTGGTGGAGGTGCGGCGTCAGGGAGCGGATATATATCACAGTAGCAACAGACCTCGAGATGGGAACATCTGGCGTGCAAAAAAGCAGGCCCAATGAGTCAGACGGTGGTATCGAGAAACATACAAACGTCCATCCGAACAACCCCTGCGATTTCTCAGATCGAGCAAAATCGCGTCCCGCGCCGGTGTCTGGGACAGGTGGTGCGTACTCGGTTGCAAGCACGAGGCTCCGACTACAGTATCAAAGAATAAAACTAGCGAGAAGGGCTGACCGGGACCAAACAACTGCACCTTTAAATCGCTGGTGGATGAACAATATCAGCCCACGTTTTCCACTTCACAAGTGTGGTCGAAGCAGGTTCCCATTCGCTGGTCTTCTCCGAACCGCGTGACAACCATGTCAATACGTGATTTTGCATAAAAAATATCATGTACGCGACACACTATTCGCGCACAAGCAACTGCGCCCCATGAGTGATGCATGGGGTTTCGCGCCGGTGCACAAAGCTAGCAAACGACAGCGTACAAGACCGGCATGATCCGAGGCACGAACTGTAGGTGATTTGGACAATTCACGTAAACTTGCAGTTCTGACACCAGGCTAGGGCGACATTCATACCCCCGCGATCCGTAAATATCACGGTTCCATGCGCGTGTATGCTAGACGACTCGCCTGCGTCGAATACTGAGTCCCGTAGTACTGGTAGGCGCCGCAGTTCCCCAAGCAGATCTGTGGCCGGTTGGTTGCGTTGGAGGGGAAGCCGCATTGGTCACATTGGTCGTTCGAACGAGGAGAGATTAAGTAAATTGGGAACAACGTGGCAGTTTGTTGGGTGGCGGTGGCGCGTTGATGCAAGGGCTACGTATTTCGAACGCTGGTGGCAATGGCCATGCAGCGACAAACCACGAGCATACCAAGACAGCAGTACCACACGCAGAGTACAAGCCATGCTGATGTTCGACACAGATGACATCGTCAACAGCTCAACCCACGACTCCGAGACGTATCCCATCCGTCTTCCTTGCGGACGCACCTCCGAGGTCATGTCGTCAGAGGTAGCCACCAACTCGAAGATGCGGCTGTCGGCTGGATCGGAGTAGCAGCCGAGGTAGCCGGAGTCGTCGGGGTTCTCGTAGACACTCATGGCGTAGAAGCCTCCGCAGGTCTGGCTGGAGTCGCCCGAGCAGGCCATGTCGCAGACTCCTTCGCCGTTGGCGTCGTAGTCGACGTTGTCGCCGCACCAGCACTGTTTCGAAACGGACGGCGGCGGATATTTCGGGCGTTAAGGGATGGCTGAGAGAGAGGAGTTCCAGGGGTCGTGTGTGGCGTGTGGCATTTTGTTTCGACTTATGGTGGGGGATGGGGAAGGTCGGCGTTGCGGTAGTGGTGCCGCCGACCATTGTTGCTGTTGTTGTTGTTGTTGTTGTTGTTGTAGTTGTTGTTGTTGTTGTTGCTGTTGTTGTTGTTGTTGTTGTTGTTGTTGTTTTTGTCTTCAGATTAAAAAACGTTCCGGTCTACGCTTAGTACCTTCCAATGTCCGCACTGGACCATAGGTCGAGAAAAGGAAGGATTGATCTCAATTTCACGAAAGAGAGGTGCTCGGATCGTGTGTTTTCGTCTTTTGATGCAGTCCGTTATAGTCAGTATTAAAGCGAGAAACGTTGACCTCCACTGCTGTGTAGCGCAAACAGAAAGGTTAGCGTGTCAAGGAGCGAACAACCAAAAACCAGCCAGGATAAACCATAGTCTAGGGGGGATCTGTACCAAACTCTATGGTTTAGACTATTAAGAAATCCAATCCATGTAGAATGGTCATCACGTTGAAACCGTCTTTTCGTTGTTCGTAGGCACAGAGAATGCACGACCACCAAACAAGGTATTTACTATGCACGTACTCCCCCAAAGCCAATAAAAAAAACTCGACACCATCCAACCTATGCCATTTATCACGATCTCGTACATCACCGCCACCGTTGAGTGTACGACCCCGTTGTTGTAAAGTCTCAGACGTCTTACCTCGGAAGAGTACTGGGTGCCATAGAAGGCCGAGCTGGCGCAGAGCACGGAGCAGACCTGTGGCCCGAGCGTCGCGCGGACATGCAAGCAGAGCGGGCGAAAAACATCTGTATTGGGTGGCAAGGGGAGCAGTGATGGACATCATGTCCGCAGACAGTATGGTAAAAATGGCAACGCTGGATGTCGTGGGTCTCAACCCGAGGTTCAAAGAGTGGGCACACGAAGCCAGCAACAAAATCGACTGCCACAAGCACCAGGGAACGCAAGGACTACCGTCCAACTCGCACAAACCCATGCGTTGAAAACAACATGAAATCATAAAAATACAGACGTATGGGCATTCACACGCGACTCCAGGCGTCGATTGGTCACTCACCGCTGCGGTCATGGCGGAGTCGGAATACTGGGTGTCGAAGACACGGCTGTCAGCAGGGTCCGAGAAGCACCCGAGGTAAGACGGATCATCGGACTGACCTGCTCCGGCACGAGTCAGACAACGCGGATAATCTCACGAACCGAAACAAAAGGTGGCCTAGAAGCGTCCTAAGCACCAAAGTCACGGGAGGCATATTGTATACATACGTTACAAATGTGGGCGGACTGTCCGGTTGTAGGCATGCATAACAAAGGAGGTGAGCAAATTTGTTTGTCGCGTCATCTCCTATGGTTGAGAAGCACGATGACCATTGGACTGCCAGTTCAGCGCTGACTTGTCGTCCAGTGGTCATCGTCTTTTTCAAGAGGTGGTGATACTCCGGTGACGTTCAACCTATCCCCGTCACGAACTGATAGTATTTCGAGTCATGCCCCAGGCCTCCGCCAATTTTCTACGATGAATTTCGTTAGTGCAATGTGGTTGACCACAACCATCAACGGTCTCTGCTGTAAATAGTCGTGGCTGCGAAGAGCACGATACAGCTCCCTCAGCACATCAGTGGGATATGGAACCGTCCCTCCTGCGAGCGGCGAGAAACCAGCGTCCTTGCTACTGCCCGAAAGTTGTTTCGCAACACCGGGCGCGATTTTGGAACTTGGAGTTCACGCACTGCCATCCGGAGATCTCAAGCACGACCAAAGAACTACGAAACCGACGTTTTACGCGAGAGTTTCTTTCTGTTTGTTGTGTTTTCGATATACAGCTCGAATTTCGGAGGGTATCCATCTCTGTCGAGGAAATTCTGGGGCTGGTAACCTAGCGCTGAAACAAAAGCACCCACGAAACGCGTTGAACGAGCTATCGTAATTCAGAGTTTCACCAACCTTCGTTTACGAGGTCCATATTGTCTGTCTAGGCTTTGTTGGGATCGGGTACTGTCGGTAGGTACTGTAGAAGTACGCCGGAGGCCAAATTTGTTTCTTCGACCGGGGTCATCCACATGCCACAGCCAAAAGACAAAAAACGGAATGTGTTTTGCACGGACGGGTGGCTGTGAGCGGCTGACGGCGGGTGTATGATGACAATTTCACATGTATGTCTCTCCGCCCGAAAGAGCGGGCGCAAGCGCCGCCCACAACAGCAGGAGGAGGAGCAGTAGCACCGCCGTCGCGGTACCGCGGTACGACAGCAGTCGAACCGCGTACGCACACACGCACCTTCCGTGTCGTTGGAGTTATTCAGAACAAACATGTGGCATGTTTGTTGCTCGACGGGCTTTCTTCTGCTTCCAGAACGTACTGTTGTTGCGCATCCTCGGGGTATTTTACTGAAGGTAAATACGGTGTAGGTAATGAGGGCATAAAGCCAGTTTCGATATGATCATTTTTCAACACAATGCTTGATTCACATCTATCTGATGACAGCAGCAGCGATCAAGCACCACTTCAGAGGCACTGCAAACGCGCAGCAAACACCTTTGTTGGTGTGGTGCATGCTGGATGCTACAGTACCTTCACATTCCTTCGCATGGTGCCCAGACTGCACATCATGGAGGATTCATTTTCCTTCGGGGTACAAAGAGATGTCTTGCGATGCCTCAAGAAATGGTTCGTTGTCGGCAGGCTCGAAGCCACAAGAAATTTTCTCACGCACTGTCCACCATTGTGTGGCAGACGGTGTGTGCGTATGAAACTCGCTCTATCGGTAAAGGTCGGTTATGCCTCACCCCATCACACGATGGCGCGCCGTTTGGGCTTGCTGCTTGAGGCAAACGGTGCAGTATCAGAAAGAAAGGCATGTTGGGCGGCCTCGACGTTTGTCCGCCTCTCCCTCTCGTCCATTCCCACCATCACGAATACAAAAAATGCCAACAAGATCCAGAGAAAAATCGGCAGCAGGAGGACGCACGGGTTTGATATTGAATGAAGTACTATCACAAAAATGTTTTTGCAATGTCTTTTGGCTGAGTGAGGCCACCAACCGCAAAAAAAAAGAGAGGTCTTGCACGTACGTGTGGTTTTTTATCTCTTTCGATGATTGATGTGGATTGGATCCCACTCCCGAAAGCTTGTTGCATTTTGCACGAACACTTCTCTCACCAACAGCAACCCCGAGAAGGAGCATCGGTAGCGCCAGCGAAAGAAGCTGCATCTTCATGTTGATGGCAGGAAACCTGATACCTGAAAGGGCAATGACCGTCATCCGTACGTCCGGAGAACAGGACATGTATGTGTTCTAGAGGTTAGCCGTGTCAGTCATTGGTGCAGAAGTGCATTTCTCTGACGGCTGACACGAGCTCTCCCCGCTATCTCGCTCGTGGGGTGGGGTTGGGAATACGGGTGGAAAAAAGCAGTAGTCTACTGTAGTCCACACGTTGCGTGTGCCCAGATTGTGGTAGGCTACCTGAAGAAGTATGGTATCACGAGTAGATACGGCATATCACTCACTCACAGCAGTGCCTTCTTGTGGGCTTCAAGGTATCTTCTGCTGCTCGGGAGTGTAGACAGGGCGAGAAGAGGGAGAGTGTGAGCTGGTGGGCGCGAGAGAGCGGGTGGGCGCGAGAGAGCGGGTGGGCGCAAGAGAGCGGGTGGGCGCGAGAGAGCGGGTGGATCTCGGATATGCCACAGTCTTGCTGCATGCAAGGACGCCAACCCACACGCAACCTACAACATCCATTTTTTTTTTGAACCGCTTGCGGTCATCATGTTCGACCCATTTTCTTGTGAACAACAGGGATCTACACGCCCACCAAAGCGCTATCACGCCACAAGTCGGTGCTGCAGGTAGGCATCGCTCGTCACGCGGTTCATGACTGTGGGCGAATCCAACAGTCGGTTGACCGTGTATGTACTACTGTAGTAGGCCCTGTGCGTGCACGAGTCTGCCCGACATTGCCAAAAAATGGCATGGGTGGGGACCTCACAGATCTAGGTCATTCTGGTGTGGAACGTGTTATTCCAGCAGAGCTTTTTCCATCTCGGTTGTGGCATCAGAGGCTTTTCACTCATTAGTGAACAACGTGATCAACTAAACAACTATGAGCCAACTACAGCATGTACCACATTTACCAGATTTCCACACATCTACTTGTATCCGTTCGTTATTTAAGTTGATCCGCTTATGTTTTTCCGATCTCTCCCGCACGCCTGCGCAAGTCTTCCCTTGATCCTCTGTGGTACCCACCACTGCAACAGAACGGCCATTGTTTGCATGTAGAGGGTCGGGGCAGGTACAGCGTTCAGCAGATTGTATCCATACAAGTTCGGAAAACGCGCGAAATTTGACTTCATCCCACATCCCGACAGTCTCGTTGTGGACACGCAGACATGCAGACACCCCGGACAGTTTAGAAAGGTTCCCGGAACGGTTCCGTTCTTCTAAAGAAGCACAGCACAGCTTGGGCACTTGGTTGCTCGACCAGGTACACTCGCGTCGTATTGCCAGGTACAAGCAGCAGCCGAGCAAGGGGGAGAGGAAAGGACGGGGAGAGGGCAGGTAGAAATACGCGAGAGGTGAGGTGTACCTCTAGCGTCTGGAAGGGTACATACAAGCCGTTGATTGTCTGCCGCCCTGCCGACGCGGTGCTGTAAATCAGATTGGACGATGAGCCCTGCTTGTTGTGCAGACGTACGTGTTCGTCGGGGGGGGTTGTCGTCACGATTGATTTGGTCTCGATCTTGTCAAAAGCCTGCCCCTGTAGTCGTCATGGCTGCCCACGAAGGCTTGCCCAAGTGTCGGCCAGTTTTCCAGCCAGTTGCCATGCTGCACTGCTGAAAAAAAAAAAAAAGTAAGTCTGAAACGAAGCAGAGGGACCGCTTGCGTCCACCCAAGGCAAGCCCAAGGCGTACAGCAGTGAACCACCCCAACAGTTGTCTAGGGAACCAAGATTGATCCTTTTATCAATTCCATGCACTGCTGTGGAGTTCAAGCTGGTAGGGGCAACCACCAGCGGCTCGCCGATAAAAGATGTGATGAGCGTTCGTGCATACCGTACATACACAACGCCCGCCTCCGAAGGGCTTGTGAGAGCATGGGTAACAGTGTCATGAAGGCGCGATGCAAGATGAAAGCAAGGCAAGCGGCCGTCAGTTTTTGCTTCAAGCCCGGACAGCTCACACAGCTGACGTGTGTTTGACTGGAGAGCCCAGCAAACCTCAACGAACCCAACAATTTCGTATTACAAAGCTGTACAGCAGTCTATGCGGGGTGACCCTACTCTACTCTGCCCAACCTGTGTTAGGGACAAAGGATTTCGATGAGCCAGCCCACCACGTGACCAATCTCCGCCAAATTCTGTTTGGAGAGAAGACAAACTGAGCGCCGGAGGTTATATTGCTTGAGAATTCAACCTGTTGTTTTTCGTGTATGTTGTCGTTGTCTGTTGTTGTTGTCTTCACATTAACAACCGTTCCGTTCTCTCTGCCCAGTACCTTCTTCCATCCGTACTGTAGTCTGACACTTGACGGGGTCAGTTCCCGTGGTCACAGGCTAACTTACACCCAAGAAAAAGTACACGAAAATCAAACGGACCCGAAGAGTCCGCATGCCAATAAAAGTCAACAGATAGTCTAGGCCTCTCCGCTCGCCTCTACACGCAAGGCGAGGTAACCCTAGTAGACTGGAAACAGACGGAAAACAAAAAAGAAAGGAAAAAAAAAGAAAAAAAAAGAAGAAGAGAGCAAGTGGAGGGAAGGGAGAGAGAACTTGGCATTTCAAGTGGTGTCCTCTTGAGCGTTGTCTTTATACATCGACTAGAACGTCGACACGATGAATATGTTGGTTGTTCGTAAGGCTTGGATGTACTCTTTGCCAGCCATGTGCCTACCAAGGAGTTGTTCGCTGGGGGTAAGCTTGTATAAAGAGGCGTATCGCCGCTTGAAGCAACCGCACGCCCAAAATCCCAAGGCCGAAAACTCGTACTGAAAGGGCTCGTATGTTGTGGGTGATTCGTGGTACGATCGTTGTTTGAATTTCCCTCCGGCGGTCTATGTGTTTGGATTCGTCGTTTGCACGTCCCGTTGGTAAGGATGTCGTTTTCGTGGATGAGTGGGCAGGTTTGAAAAGCGGCCGCAACACACACACAGCCGTGGATGTAACGGAGAGAGAGAGAGAGAGAGAGAGAGAGAGAGAGAGAGAGAGAGAGAGAGAGAGAGAGAGAGAGAGAGAGAGAGAGAGACAGGCAGGCAGGCAGGCAGGCAGGCAGGCAGGCAGGCAGGCAGGCAGGCAGACAGACAGACAGACAGACAGACAGACAGACAGACAGACAGACAGACAGACAGACAGACAGACAGAGAAGGCGTACTCGTGTGGAGCATCGTTCCCACAGGACCGATCAGCGATGGCCAATCGTGCCTTCCTACTTTGCCAAAGGTGGCTCAATAATGTACTTCTCCCTATATAGCGTATCTCTCGACATCTCTTCCCGCCTTTTTTTCACACTTCCTGTGCCTTCCTTCTCCTTTGCCCAGCTCACTCATGGCACATTTCCCCCTCCTTCTCGTACAACGGACATTCCGCAACTAAATGAGCCCGGTCTTGGAACTCGGAAACGCATTCACATTTGAACTTACCGTCTTCGTCATCTTCTTTCCTAAACGTTTGTCTACATTGTCGACGGTCGAAATGCCCCAAGTCCAAAATTCGATGTTCGGCTTTGTCCCTTTATCCATTGGCTCATGAGTGGTACTCCTCGAACCTTGTTCCTTCTTTCAACATTCCGTACACATCTTGAACCTCGTTGTTCTTGGTTTCGTTTGGTTAGATTGTGTTCTCTTTGGACAAAAACACCAGATATCCCCGCCTTGAACCCTTCTAGCCCTTCCATTTCCAGTGCATCAACTTCGTCGATTTCGAACTCCTGCCGTACGCCATCTACAACCTTTACCCACTCCGTGGGTTGTCTATTGTCAAGCTATGCAATGCTCTGTTTTGTACTCTTGACAGGTTTGGCAGCGACTGCATCACTTGTCTTGCGAAAAATGTTTTTACGTTGCTCTTGGCCATGGGTGACGCCTACGTTCCACACCTGCGTGAAATTCATGCGGCTGTCTTCGACAAATCATGGCGTATCTACGAGGTTGAGACTTCCCTGTTTTCTTGTGTCTCCCGCAGGTAGGGGAGTGGGGGGCGTTGTCTACGACCGGCTTCTGTCACTATATATGCTTTCAGCGTTTGACAAACCCAAATTACAGCTCCTATTTTTTGTCTTCGTTGATGGCGGTGGTTTGTTCCGTGCTGTCTGCACTTTCTGTTCGAGTCTGTTGCCATTTCTTCAGTGAGTCTCAGCGGCATAAGTACTTGCGAACCCTCGGATATGCCCCCTCCTCTTTGTTCGCGTTGTTTCCTTTTGGGCAGCTCTGTTTACGAGTAACGCGTGAAGCATCATGGAAGGACGCGCCGGTTCGAGTTCCGCAAGACCTGGTGAGTTTAGGGCTATGATGATATTGTTGCAAAAGCCATATTTCACGTTTTTTTCCCTGTTGCTCACACGGATAGGATTCGAGACGCCGCCGCAGGCGCAGAAATTTCCCTTTCGATCTCTTGTGCGTTTTTGGTTTGATGAACAGGGCCGGTTCTAGGTGTGCCATCGCAGCGTGACACGCATGTAGCTGGAAGTTTTGCCCGGCTCGATGTTCTCCCGAATGGTGCTCGGTCGATGGTTCCTTTGTTTTGCACTTGCGTCCCGCAAACCCTCAAGCCGAATGCTGTTTCCAGATTGCAGCGTTACCCTCAAGGGGTATCGAATGGCAGTTCTTGGCACACTTGATGCTACTTTCTGTGTCCATGGCCAAGTTGCTCGCAATCGCCACATGGTTCGACAGTAGTCCGACTGGGCTGCCTTTGGAAGTGTTGTAGACGCGACTGCTGGCGCCTTCATTTTTCCCCCTGCTACAGTGTTTCATGCCGTGCGAGTGCTTTGTTGGTGCTGAGACAAGCCGTCTTTCGCTTGATTGATACATATTGGGATGAGTTTGACTATATTGTCTTCGGTGGCGCTCTACGGTTGACAGCTCTAGCACCGGCAACATTGTGTATTCTCGCGGGTGGAAGACCACGCCACACGTATCGCACTTGATCAAGCACCCTGTGAACATCCTCGGCCGGCGGTGATCTCAGGCAATAGAGCAGCGCATGCAAGGCATCGCCTAGACGTTGCTGACTGTTTCTTGCTTCTGACACGTACGAAAGAGTGTGGGCCTTGATCGTGTGACAAAGCTTGTCCTCTGGACCATATTCAAGAAATTGGTGCATTCGAATCGCTTTCGAAGGGATCACTGTGTTTGGAGGTGGGGAGACTGGGTTACACATTGGTAAGAGATTTGTTTTTTGTCGGATAATATGTTGAACCCTGAGGCCCGCAGACCGGGATGTGTCACACGCCGTCGCCGACCCAACCCAACCCAAACGGCACCCTATGACCCTGACCCTTACCATAACCCTCACCGACGACCAACGCATGACCTGGCAGCCGAGAACTGGGCGAGAAGGCGGCTCAGCCACGTTCTCGGAATGCAGAACGGCAAAAAGGCGCTGGGAGGAATCGACCGTTAGAACCAACCCCACACAATACCCGACCAATCCGCAGGCCTTAGCCCTAAGGATTCCGGACATAGCAACGTGTAAACACTAATAAGGGTTGATGTCCAATCTCTATGTCACCCTTATACCCCGTGCTGATGCAGAATCTCCCTGTGACAACACCGACAAATTGATTATTCCGCAGATGAATGGGGTCCGGCCGTGGCCAGCGGCGACGCGACCAAGCTAGCCGAGCTGGTGCTGCTTTGGTCCGGTTTGAAGCCCGAGCGGGCTCTGTCGGTTATTAGAGACTGTGTCTCTGTGCTGGAAAAAGAGGTTGCGCTTTCGACTCCGGGTTCTTCTCCCCTCCGTGCGACCCCGACTACGCTTGGTGGGTCCGTTGTTTTCGTGTGAAGTTCCTGAATTTGCTTGCGCACCCTCACTCTCACGCATATAATTTGCGGCCCGTTATTGACTTGACTACTATGCCCCTGTAGAGCAAAGGAGCGGCCGGTTTGTCGTTGTTATTGTTTCTAGTTAGTCAAGACGCATTGGCCACTTTGCCCAACGAACGTAACACGGTGCGATGAAAACTCAGCTTGGTAGCCGCCTTTTAAGGGTTCACCACCCCGTACCTTAAACCGTACGGCCTTTGAAGTTGTTGGCCGCGTTATCGTACGCGCGGACAATGCTCCATGGTTGCCTCCGAGCGGATGCTACCCATCACAGGCCTTCCTCCACTAGTTTTTGCAGTGGTTGGCTCTACGGAGCGCATGTCAGTGGGATCCTCAACAAAGTCTTTCGTGGAGTCTGCCGGGGTAGGGTTGGTAACGTGTAGTTTCAAATATTGTTGGAAATTGCACGACTGAAAAGAAATTCAGGTGGTCCGCACGACACAACACGTACATATCACAAGGACACGACTCGGGATTTAATCCCGAAGCCCCCACTGATTTGCCAAGACCACCGAGTACCGTTTTGTGGCGGCTGAAGCTGAGCGTACTGCGACCGGGCTTCTCGAGTCGGCGTTGCACCGGCTTTAGTCGCCCCCGAGATCCCTTTCAGCAGTCGCACGAGATACTCCCGCACGAAGGGACCAACGGGCTTCATTGATGCGACTGTCGGACGGACCTTGTGCGGAATCACATCAACCATAGACCCGAACGCGCATAGCCATCGCCATGGATCCAACCCCGAGACCCGGACACGGACACCGCCAGCACTGCAACACACCGAGGTCTCTTGACCTCTTTACATTCTTCTGTACTGCGACCATACACAAACGAAAAACCGCGTGCCAAGCACACTGACTCAACCGCCGCGCCAGCGTCTCGCGAAAGTTCCAAGGCCTTAACATATACGCCCCGTGTTGGCATGCATTTATTTCTTTTCCTTTCTCTCGCACGACCATGCACACACATGGGTGTACCGATAAGAGAAACATGGCATACAGAATGTTGTTTTTTTCACGAAGGAACGACGGGAAAGGCAGTACATTATTGACGCACACTCCGCCCCTGTGCTCGCTGCTGTGTGTGGTGTTGCGGATGCTGCCGTATGCAGCTGCGTAATCAATTCAAATCGGAAGCAGTTTGGGTGAACCTTTGGTTGAAACGACGATGAACGGAAACGCGGTGGCAGACAAAGGCAAGACCGGACTCGCGCAGTCAAATCGCGGTGCCCTCCGCTCACACATACCGGTACTTGATGGCCTTCGCCAATTTGGGCGGGGAATCGGGTTTAATTTCCGGAGTCAGTTGTTCGTTGCCGCTTCGTATCACTCCACCCCCCCGGGTTTATGTATTCTGTCCTTGGCTATTTCAAAAACCCACAACCGCGGGCTCAAATATACTCTACCAACCAGCAACGCGTCTCAGCGACGGGCCTCTTTGTTCCTAGCCGCTTTCCACTCTCGTGTTTCCGATACGTAGTTGTGCCCCCCTTGGCACACGCTCGAGGTTTTCGGTGTTCCACGTTTACGCATGACAACCTACGGGGTATCTCAGGGGGTGCCCGTGACACGGAATTGTACCTTTGTCTGTGGAGGAATATAGGCTCGGCGAGACACCAGCATTGAAAAGAAACCTTGGGCCTGGGTGATCGGGTGACGAAAAGCACCAAAATCAAATCCGAATCAGCTCTTCACCCATACCGTTTCAGATTGGCTTGGCCGCTTGTGTGCTCGCAAGCGCAACATGTTTGCCTCTTGACAGATCTTGCCGAAGATCGGAAGGAAAATTCGTTCGCCAAAAATGGGAAACGGAATCGTCATAGACAAACCTTGGCCAGGATCATGGTGTGACCCCAGATTCCCCCCCCCAAAGAACGGCGTAAGCACTCATGTGGACTTTGGCTCCGAATGTTAGACGATTTTCCTCTTCAACACGTTGGTTCCATTTAACCCACACGTGCATATGTTGCTAGACTCTTGCAGCGGTAGGGTGGGTCACTGGTGCATGCAGACGATTGGTTTTTCGCGCGGTCTCAACTCACTGTTCGCTCCAAACGATTTGCATAGCGTAACGCTCTCGGTCATCGTACTAGACTTCGTCTACGATATATTGTGCCTAACCAAATGCTGCTGTAGAGTCAGATTGTCGGGGCTACAGCGCCCTCACCGGAACACTTGCAGTCGAAACCCTCACGGTTTTGTTTTTTAACGAATGTTTGGTTCTGGTACGCATCGTGCGCCCGTTCAATCATCGCGTCCCCGGCATTTTTTGTCCTTTTGGAACACTGACTGTTGTCATATTTCCTGAAGAACGGCATTGATGCCTTTATGCCGGATCTATTGACGCAAAGATAGGTTTTGCGCGGGTGCGGCAAGTTGACCGTGTTCTCCTCCGGATGTGTCATGGCCGTGGAACAGATACCGATTCTACGTTCCACAATCTGCATTGTTTTTGAAAGACGCAATTTTTGTGACCAGGCTCATCTGTACGCCAATACACCGATACACCGTGCGTCGTTCAGCAGGACCCGCCAGTAGCTCGTGCTTAAACGCCGTCATCGTTGCTTTGAACGAGACGTGCGACGGAACGAGTTGGTACACGTCGACCAAGGAGCTGCAGCTGGCGTCCTTGGAATTCTGCACCGCGTGCAGAAACTATCCGACCGTACACTTGACGGTCAATGCAGAAACTCCACGTAGGATGCTGGCCGCTGCAGATATCCCACCCCCTCACCCGAGCCGGCTGGGTTGGACACGCGTGCCACGGATACGAGCGCGTCGCGCGACGTGGAACCTACAGACAGAAGCGGCATTGACAAACCCGATCTTCGCACTAACGGATGTCGACTACCTCGAGTTCGGCCGTGCCTTTGAAGGCAGCCTTGATGCTGTTGTGTGGCTTCGACGGCTGAAAACGATCGAGTTTCAGTGGGAATCACCATTTAATGGACCTATCCATCTGGTGAAATGGCCAGCATGTCTGCAAAGTCTTGCTTTCGGAGGAGAGTTCAATCAGCAGATCGAACATGTCAAGTTCCCGGCGTCCCTGGAGCATTTATCGTTTAGAACCTACTTCAACCAACCCATCGAGGGCGTAGTATGGCCGTCGTCGCTGAAGGTGCTCATCTTTGCCGGCTGCGCGTTCAACCAGCCTATTGAGCGCGTGGCATGGCCGACGTCCTTGCGGCAGCTTACGTTTGGAGGAGGGTTCAACCAGCCAATCGAACGGGCTACTTTTTCGTCGTCCCTGCAGCGGCTCACATTCGGCCAAGTGTTCAACCAGCCCATTGAGCGCGTCGAATGGCCAGATTCGCTTCAGGCGCTCATTTTCGGAGAACATTTCAACTACCCAGTTAACAACGTGAGGTGGCCGGCTTCATTGCAAGAGGTTTCGTTTGGATGTTGCGAAGCTACATGGGACTATCGGACAGTGATGGGCTCAGATTTCGACCAGTGTATCAGCAAAAGTGTTTGGCCCGCATCATTGCGGCGAATCACCCTAGGCGGAATGTTCAGACAGTCACTGCAAGGCCTGGGCACTTGGATGCCCAACCTGGAAGCGTTGCGTATGCTCGAATGTGATATTGACAATATACCAAACGATAGCCTTCTTGTCCGCGGAATCGAATGGCCTAAGGGCCTTCGTGAGCTGACCGTCTTCAAAGAATCGATATTGGATGGGGTAGTAATTCCTTCAACCGTACAGGTCTACCGTCCGAGCCTGTTTGTGTGATTTTCCAAAGAGGAGCTGCGTTTTCCCGAGTTGCCTGCTGATATTATCCTTTAATCGGAACGTACTGTAGTCTATATAGGAAGGTAGTACTTTGGTAATGGAGTGGTGCCGTCGCCGGCGGGAGAGCTTCAAACACGTAAACAAGTTGGTCCATCGATGCCCCGAAGATGACACCGCATCCTGCTTCCTTTTCGATATGGTAGTCAACACCTACTGTAGATGTGACTGTTGCGGGTTTGAGGAGAATTTGAGGTTTGTGTTCGGCGGTGAACACTAACTTTGTGATCATCTACTGGTCGGTTGTCCATACTGTGTATGAGGTTGACCACACAACCGAGAGGCAACGATACTTTGGAACATTATAGCCGGCATCTGCTTTTCGTTTGCAGTGCGGAATTGTTGAATGTGCTCGAAAAGAGTCTCCAGGCCGTTGTAGCTTTCACCCGGTACCTCGACGTCTCTCTTGCCAGGGGCAAAGAATTGAGATCCGGTGAGCATCATGAACCTCAAGTAGCTCTCTTCCGGAGCCGGCGAGAGTTCACCTCAAGGTTGTCGTCATCCAGACCATCCCCGCTCACCGCCCGGGAACGACCGTCATGTATGGATCATGTCAGAGTCCACCCTGGAACTACCCCCAAGGGCGAGGACTCGTCCTTTCACTCGATCGCAAGGGACACGATCGTCCTGATGATAGCTTCGATCAACGTTGTTTCCAAGTTATCAACGAGGTAGGTGCGGGTGATGACCAGATGAGTGGCCCACTATGTATATCTGCCCTCAGCATGAACACATAGCACTGAGCTGTATACAGAAGGACCGCCGTGGTAGTCGCTAGAACCTTTCCCCGCAAGAACGACTGAATCTCCGCTAGTGTAAGGTTGGCGACGGTGGGCCACTCGCCGATCAGTATCTAGCATGTTGGGGTGGTGGCGGTGTTTCGCCAAGCTTCCTTGGACTCCTTCGCACTCGAGGTTTCATAAAGTGCGCCATGCACGGACATGAGTGGTGGCGGCGCGTCAGGTTCAGGTGTGTCGTCCGGGTCGCCTCTTCCTCTGGCCTGGAACCGGTCTCCCACCGGTGTCCGCCATCTCCCCCGTCGATGCGGCCCCACCAATGCTGCTACCTCCTTGTCTGCCTTTTCTGAACGTCCCATTGTACTGCCACTGCCGACTAGCCGAAAAGTTGGGTTGATTCGTAGGGACCGACTCTTCAGTTCCGTTTCCTCAACGA